GATTTAAGATGGGTGGACTTCAACTCCCAGAACCCCCCAGTCAGAACGATTTAAGATGAGTGGGCTTCAACTCCCAGAATTCCTCAGAACGATTTAAGATGGGTGAACTTCAACTCCCAGAATTCCGGGGCCCAGCCCTGCCCTCCCTGCCTTTTTAAAATCCCCAGACGGGATTTCTCCGGAGTAGCAACGCTGAGCTTTGAAAACATCAAACCACAAGATGGGCAGCAAAATACATTGAATAATAATAAAAGCTAATAAATTATCCAGCGGACTAAAGACTCCAATTCCGTGCAAATTTCACGACACCTCTCCCCGAGTCGCATCCAGAATCGCCTTCTGCGAAAATGTGCGAAACTGACAATTCTTTTTTAAAAAAGTGAAAACCTACTGACCCACAAAAAGTTTGAACTTCAGATGTGCAAACTTAACACCTGCTTTTACTCCTCTGAGTAAACATCCGACATCGAGATACATTGGGAGTCAGAATCCCGCCCCTCCTTTCCTTGAGAAATCCTCATTTGCAGATTTTATTTTATTTTTTAAAGGCAGGGGGGGCTCAGATGAAAAAGATTTGGGAGAAAAAGGAGTTTATTATATTTTATTTTATTTTATAAAAAAATAGGCTTCTCCAATTTGTACGTTGCGAAAGCACGTCTAAACTCGCAGGAACATCTGTTGGAGGCAACAGCTGCATGGAGAGATCGTACTGGGGTGTTTGGCGTGTTGCGCAAACATATGTCCTGTGTCGCTGCTTCCTGGTTTGGCATCTTGCAAAAACTCAGAAAAGGAATTAATTCAGCTATCAGTATCTCAAATTAAATCTCGGAAGTTTCCCAAAAGAAATTCGGTATATAGCTAGTCCTCGGCTTAAAGAGTCATCCTTGAGCTCCAGATTCCTGTTTCTCTTAAGTGAGAAACATTTATTAAGTGAGGTTTGCCCTGTTTTACGATTTATTTTCCTTACCTTTGTCGTTAAGTGAATCCTGCCATTAAGTTAGTCACGGAGTCATTAAGTGAATCTGGCTTGTCGCGCGACCCCAAGACACTGCCAAGCCTCCGAGTTGTTGATCCTGTGAACGTGGGAGAGATGCAGCAGTGGTCCTAAGCGTGAAAAATCTCTCTTTTTTCCCCCCTCCAGCACCGTAGTTAATTTCAAAACAATCACTAAGTGAATCGTTGTAAGTTGAGGACTGCCTTGTCTTTGCCTCGACGGCTCTTCTTCTCACCCACCCCATCCTTTTGGACAATTGGGGAGATCTTGACTCAACGTGTATTTTGGGGTGGTTCATTTGGGGGACCCCAAAATGTATTCTGCCAAAAAAAGCAACTTGACTTTCTCATTTTTGCTTTTTTTTTTCCTTTCCCCTTTGAAAACCTTTCACTTCTCCTCCGAGAAGCTTCTTGGGTTCATTTCTTGGATGAGAAAGCAAGGTGTTTTCAAGGGGAAACAAAACAAAACAAAACAAAACCAAGAAAATCCAAGTTGCATTTTGGGGAAAGAAAAACAAACTGTTCTGGCCCAAGCCTTGTTCAAATCAAACAAACACCAAGTATGTATAAAAAGCAAACCTTTTTTAATGCAGCGCTGTGAATTCTGTGCATTCCCAGCCAAGAGTCATTCAAAACGAATGGTCCCAGGTAAGAGCCAGCCTTTTCAAGGTAGCGAAAGGCTGCCAAGAACAAAAGACTAACTGCAGATAAATATCCAAAGCAACAAACTGGAGGATGAGAACTCGGAGCATAAAGAACTTCCTTGCTTCCTGCCAAGAAACCGACCCCAAAGGCTGGCTTTTATCCCTTAAGGGAATGGTCCCAGATAAGAGCCAGCCTTTTCAAGGTAGTGAAAGGCTGCCAAGAACAAAAGACTAATTGCAGATAAATATCCAAAGCAACAAACTGGAGGATGAGAACTCTGAGCATAAAAAACTTCCTTGCTTCCTGCAAAGAAGCCGACCCCGAAGGCTGGCTTTTATCCCTTAAGGGAGGGGCCATCACCTTCCAGCTTTATTCCTGAGTCATCCATGCTGCTTCAGCTGCTCTTTCCTTCGAGCAGCCCTGCGCGCGCACACACTGAGCACAGGCTCCCTGGGGTCCTACTGTGTCACTGCTGTTAGACTCCTCAAACTCTGGTAGGCAGCACCCCACTCTCCAATGGTCCTGGCCCCATCCCTGCATCACACGCAGGCCCCTCGCCCGAGTCCTCGCTTTCCGAGACCTCCGCCATTTGCACTTGCTACCAGCGACAACACAACACAAACCAACAAACACCTTTGGGACAACCTGGATGATGGAGAAATCTCTTTAATTTGGAATGTTTTGCTCTGGGGTAAAAAATCCAGGTGCGTTTTCTTAGGGTTCGGCGTTCAATGGGTGGGGAGGTGAACAATGCATACCTTCACCTCTGTTTTTTGCAGTCTCTTATCTTTGGCATCTCTGCCTGGGGAAGAGGAATTCAGGAAAAGCGAGAATGGGGCCGTTTCGCATCAACAACGCTTGTGGCAGCTGTCGGGGGAGGGAACGGGTAAAACTTTGGATTCCCGCAGTTAGATAACGTGGGAAATGCATCCGTTGGATCCTTCCCAGGCCTCACTCCGCAGCCTTGAAAAGGGATCAGGCAACCCCACTGTCTAAGCAGGAACGGAGCAAAAAAAAAAAAAGGTGATTTCCCAGAACCCATCGGGGAGAGGGGGGGCACCGCTGCGGCATTGTGGGAGAAGCCAAAATGGCGGACGCCAGCTGACCCGCTTGGACTGAGGAAGGTTCTGGAGAAGAAGCCATAAAAGCAGGCAGTGGATTTCCCCTCCACCCTTCGTCCTGCTGGAGAGGCCAGCTGTTGATCCCATCAATCCCCTCCCCCTTTTTTTTCTCCCCCCCAAGCATCCTTCCTGGCCAACAGCTGTTTTTGTAACCGATCTCCTTGAATGTCCAAAGTACGAAATTCCAGATTGGGCCGGACAGGAGATGGTGGGAGAAGGTCGAAGCTCCCCGTCTCGGGAGGATTCTGCTGTCGCCTCTTTTGTGGCTTTCCCTGCCACGGTGTTTCTCAACAGCTTTTAGAAAGGAGGACTTCAATCCCCCAGAATTCCCCAGACAGCCTTCTTTAAGAGAGGTGGGGACTTCCAAGGGCCCAAATTCCCTGGACGGCATGTTTTTAAGCTGTGTGGACTTCAATCCCCAGAATTCCCCAGCCAGCGTGCTTGAAGGCGGGTGGACTACAACTCCCAGAATTCCTCAGCAAGACTGCTTTAAGTGCATGGACTACAACTCCCAGAATTCCCCAGCAAGACTGCTTTAAGTGCATGGACTACAACTCCCAGAATTCCTCAGCAAGACTGCTTTAAGTGCAT